GCATGTGCAGTTGTGCACCAGGTATTTTCGTCTGGATTTATTTAGTATTTTTTAGAGTTATTGCCCTTCACTTAGAAAATTTTTGCAATTTTCAACTTGGATTTGACATAGTCAATTTTAAAAAAAATTTAATGGGGAGGTTGCCTCAGCAATTTTAGATTTTCAAAACCCGGGGGGGTTTTGTTTGTGGATTTTTCAAATTTTTTTGGGGAGTTTTTTTCCTTTCTTAGTAAAAAGATTTACAGAAAAAGTGGCGCGGGGGGGGCACCCTGTCCATGGGAAATTTTCTAGTTTTTTTCCCTTTTTTTAATTTAGTTAGTCCAAAAATTTTAAAAAAGTGGAGCGAGGGGTTAAAACAGCCCCTCTCCAAAGAATTTTATATTACCTCAATGATTTTTGCCGATGAAAAAGCCCCCTTTTCTCCGGGTACAGTTAACGAATTTAATATCATTTTTAAAAAACATTTTCTAGGTTTTTTTTCAAAAAACAAATTTAAGGGGAAACCCAAAAAATGAGGGCATGGGGGTTTAAATTTGAGGGAAATTTTTGTTTTGGAGCTTAGAACATTGGGGATTTTTTTGGGACTAACCGACGTTTTACACCGTTTTTTCTTTTTTGTGGAAATTTTTTAAACCTTTCCCTTTAATTTTTATGGCCAATGCAAATTGGTTTCCAAAGGTAAACGCGCTCTTTAAAGTATTTTAAAACTTATTTTGTAAATAGTGTTTGGGCCCAAAACCCCAAAAATTTTTTGTTTTTCAAATTTTTTGGTAGGCCAAAAAATTGTTTTACCCCGCCCTTTTCTATATTGGGGGGCTGAAATTTTTTGGGGTTTTCAAAGATTTTAAATGATTGGAAAAATACCTTTGCAAAATAAAAAAACTTTATTGTGAATGAAAAACGGTTTTTGGCCTTTCACTTGAGGAAAAAGTTTGGGGTTTTTCCTTATATTTTTTACAATTGGTTTTTTAAGTATTGGTTAAAAATATTAGATGCCCCATTAAAAAGTTTTTTGTAAAAAAAATGCTTTTTTTTTCTATTGGGGCAAATACACCCGACCATTTTAATTTTGGTCAAAGGATAAAAAAATTTTTTTGGATAATTTTAGGGTTTTTGCTATGTTGTGTACACTAAATAAAATTTTAAAACCACAAAAAAAAGGGTTTTTCAATGAGTTGAAAGGGTTTTAAAAAAAACAAGAAAAAAAGGAAACAAAAAAGGCAAAGGCAACGTTCAACAGGACGCCGCCCCCGGAACACACCCCAAAACAGGAAAAACCCCGAAGGCACCAAAAAAGTACCTTTGGGGTGGGGATAAGGGCCCAAAAAAGGGGGGGACATTTTAAGGGAAAAAAATAAACAAAAAAAAGGGGCCCCTAAGGGAATTAAAATTCAAATTTGGGAAAAATTGGTTAAGCTTTGTCGATCATCAAACAAAATTAAACGGGATAAAATGGGATAAAAATTTAAATTATTTAAAAAATTTACTATTATTGAATTTTTAATTGTACGTAATTTAAACATTTTTAGGGTCAAATCCAATCTTGGCCCCCTCTCCGGGGGCTCTCCGTTAGAAAATTTAGGAAAAACCCCAAGGTATTCCGGGGAGAACAAAGACTTTTGTAAATTTAAAGAATGAAATTGATGGAACGATTTTAAAACTTTTAAATTTTTAAATGTCCGGTAAATCGCGAAGTATGAACAAATTTATAAGTTTCCAAAAAGAGTAAATTTTCCCGTGTCCCATTTTTTAATAAATTACAGAATTGGTACTCAATAGAAATTAAATTAAAAAATAATACTGTGGTACTTCTAGGACAATGATTTTTAGAATAATAAGTATTTTTAAAATTTAAAAACCACATTGTTGACATCTTTCAGATATGTCTTCTGTTTAAAAACCAGCATGTAGTATGTTTACATCATTTATTACCCCTCACTTTTTTCGTAATGCTAATTTCCCATAAGCCTCTGGGAGTTATTCTTACTGTTAATGCAAGTGTACCACGTGACTACGAATTTTGTACTGTTACATAGGTAACAGTATTTTTAACAGTATTAAATCTGGGTCACGTGGTCTATTTTCTAAATAAAATGAAATAAAATGGCCGCCATTTTTTTCTCGATTCATTCTTATTTTTGACGATAGGGCATCGCCGAAGTAACTATTACTCTGATGAAATTTAGTTCTTTGCAACCTAGAGTCCCTTTCGCGTATTAAATATCTTTTTGTTGAATAGTCAACAGGAAACATCCGTTTTCAACGGAAGTAATTGTAATGTAAATAATTTTGTGTCAAACTGGAACATGCAGACAATTAAAGCATGCAACAAAGGATAATTTAACAATTTTAACCAGTGAAACGTTACAGATAGAGTTTGTGGACATACATCTGTAGGATATCATCGTTATTTTCTAAATGCACTTTGTCAAAAACCATGCGAAGAATATTCTGGATGCACGAAGGATCAGATTTCACAGATCATAACCTTATAAATGGGTTAGTGTTTTGCTTTCTGAATAAAACACAGCTTATTTTATGTTTATGACTGGTAGATATTATCACTTGCCTAAAGAATAAAAGAAAAACAGCTTCTCAAGTAGGTCTACAGTGCACTTAAAACTTGCAAGGTAAGGACAGTTTAGTTATTGCTTCTCTTGGCTTATTTTTGTTACAGTTAGATTTAGTTGCCAAATTCAGATCATCACAGTAGATAGTGTTCTATCTACGCCTCGGGTAACAGTATTTTCCTCGGGATGATATTTTTACTGTTACCCACGAACCCATGTGTTATTTATATAATATTTACTTATTTTAAATTTAATGTAACTATTGTGTACACACCAAATGTTTTTGTATTGTAAATGTATGTGTCAAGGGACAGTGGCCTATATCACGAATAAATGAGTTGAGTTAGCGTGATCTTGATCTTTGACATAGGGACGTGATTCTTAAACGCGACAAATTGTCTTGACGTGGTAGACATTTATGCTTAGTTATTTAAAAATCCTCCGATACATGACAAAATTACAGTCTGGACACAAATGTGTGTATCTATAAATTCTTATTGTGATAAAGTGAAACTTTAAAATAATAGTGTGACCTTGAACTGTGAAGTAGAGACGTGATTTTTAGACGTGATACATCGTCTTGATGAAGTAGACATGAATGCCAAGTAATTCTAAAATCCTTCAATGCATGACACAGTTACAGCCCGGACACGATTCTGTGTATCTAATTGTGATAATGTGAAACTTCAAAATGTAACTGTGACCTAGTCCTTTGAAGTAGGGACGTAATTTTTGGCGTGATTGACATTTATGCCTTAGGCTAGTAATTTTAAAATCATTCGATGCATGACAAAGATACAGTCCGGACACGAATGAAATGGGAACGCACAGACAGACAGACGGACGGACTGACAGATGGACGGATGGTGCGATTTTAATATGCCGCCCTTCGGGAAGGCATAAAATCATGTTCTTTGTATTGATGAATAAGTATGGAAATTATAAAGCCATTTGTTTTGATATTTGCTATAAATGGCGGCAACTGAAGCAATATACGTTGTAATGATTAGTGTGTAAATTATGAAATCATTTGCACAGGTATAACTAAGAATAAATGCAACTTGCCAACTTAGATTAAACTCGTAAGGACCGACGGAGACAGACAACTATATATCTGGGGGCATATAAAAGCAATCAAATTAATTAAGGAGAGTCTCTTTTGTTGTTTTTTACCTTATGGTGAATGCATCATATTTTTGTTGAATGATAAAGCAATGAATATGCTGGAAACAAGGGAAGTATTAGAGTCGGAATAACAACACCTTAAATTAGTGGTAATACGCCAGTGAGCAGTAACTTATTTAAACTGTTACATGTTACTTACTCTATTAACATTCACAGCTAGCCGACTGTTATGTATCGTCAATTTTCAATTTACATACTCCTGGATAATTCGAATGATTAATGGGACGAAAAAAAATATTGTGTCTTTCTTCAAAATAGTCGACTGTTTAAAAAGGCGTTTACAATCAGAGCTTTCGATCACACTTAGTTATAAGTAATCTCCTTTAACGGAGACACAGGCAAACTTTTCATTTCATTTCTTAGATTTGATTTGTCATTCATTATTCTGTAAATGTCCTAAAAATGGAAAACACTAGACAGTCAAAGAAACACAATTTTTCTCCATATAAAGAAATACAATGGTTTCCTAACTTGACCCGCGTGGGTCAGGTAAGAGCGCTAAGATTTCACAATAGTTGTCACAGTGAACTCTGGAGACGTAAAAGAGCATGTCAAATGAATGCCTTAGACTTTTTGTAATGATCATACAATATCCACAATATCTGTTTTTGTAACTTCCAGGGTTTGTTCAAGTCTTGTTTTAAAATTACTCGGTGATTCTGCTGGCGTCTATATTTCGTTTAACATATATAGATATTTTTACGCTTCAACCCCAAAATATATATAGAATTCATATCAAAATTCATGCTGATAAAATGTCATTTTAGGGTAATTTGAGTACATAAGATAATTTTAATATTTTTGTCAATTTTGCCCGAGTATTCCTTTGGGGACACCACTGAGATTATTGTTTTAGATGCTAAGACTGGAAATATCATTCTAAGTTTTGTGTAACATTTTATTTTGGTCCATCCAGACCGATCTCTTGCGTGCAACACTTCAGATTTCCCTTTCTTTCAGACTCATCATTTTTATTCTGATTAAGTATCCGAAAATGAGGAGGGTCACAACGAATTGGGCAAGAAATTAGGCAACAAAGAAAAAAAAGCATTAATTTTATTCTAGGCATATATCTCGACTTTCTTCTGCAGTTGTTTCCATTTTAACTTCACAATCTATGTAAGATTTCAAATGGCATGTGTTAAGGCATTTTGATCTTTGAGCCGAGCTCTATTTAAGTTTTGTTTGATTAACTATGAAACTTTCGTTGAAATGTGTACTATTTGAATGCAACAGAGTACTTACAGTTATTACAAGATGGTCCTTTCCAGCCAGGTAAACATCCTTCGCTTACACATGTTCCTTTGACTTTGTCGCAATTCAGCTTGTCAGCGCATTGACATGGATTAGAACATCTATCTCCAAACGTACCAATGTAACACTCTGACATGACATGATTAAAACTAACATAACCTTATAACATAAAGCATTTTTTTGATTATTTTATCCATTTTATTAAAGAAATTTCAAGTCGTTATGACAATACTTAATTCACATGAAACTAATTATTTCATTGACGTTTTGCGTAAAACGTATCTTCAGAGAGATGCCAGTGTAATTAAAGCATGTCTGTAACACTAAGTCAGTTTATATATTTACCTGCTTCGTATAATTTGACTTCGCAAAGTGTTAATACAGTGCCCTGTTTTTGAATCTTAAGGTATTGAAATAATCGAGGTTCAATGAGTTCCTTCAGAAAGACATGTCCCGTAGAAGAATTAATTGGTAACATAGTACCTATCTGGTTGACTTCCATTGAAATATTGTTAATGTAGACAGTTATGTTTTGACTTTGATCCTTATGATCTGAAAATATTGCTACAAATTAAAATAACCAATACATACATTTCAAATATTAAAATTCGGATTCATCTTGTTATGAATTCGAATAAAATCATATATGGCAATGTTTTCATTTAAGTTCAAAGAAAATTGTCGTGTTATAATAGATGAAACATATATTTAACTCAGTAAGACTATAAGAGAATGTCGGTGAATGATAATAAGCAGTAACAATTATCTTAAAAATCGTGAACAAATAGCAAATACAAAAAGCGAATGCTTCGAACCAACCAAAAATGAAAGGGGAATAAGAACGTGTTTGGTAAACACAACCGCCCCAAGCCCATATTTTTGTCAGCAACAAATTTTCAAGAAAAGTTTACTCATTCACTCAGCTATAGTCGGACAAATTGCCGACAAAAAGTAATTATAAAATAAAAGCAGTTATAGAAAGTTTATGAGATATATATATAAATGCAAGAGCTTGACCTTGAACAAAGCGACTCCAAACACCACCAAAACTTAAAGGATCACGGAGGAATAATTCTTCCTAATATGTTTTTTGTTGGGTTATACGTCGCACCAACACAGAAAATGTCGCGTGGCGACTTTCCAGCTTCAGTAATGTATAGCGTAAAAGATGTATGTCCAAATGCAATATATATATATATATTTATTTAGCACTGGGGACTTGACGTTTCTGACCAGTTACTCCATCTAAAGGTAGAACAGTTCTCAAAATATGTCCGTTCTAAATATTAAAGACACCTTTCAAAAGATAAAGGTTATACATGCCACCTGTAAAAGTGTAAATATTTGTAATTTTGACCTTGACCTCTAACTTAACCTGAAAGAGGAAGACCGGCCTAGACAAGACCATATTAAACATAAAAGAAACCAATTTAAAAAGAAATAAAGGTTGTATGGGCAACACCGTAAAACATATGTTTTTACACCAGTTACTTTTACGTTGGTTCCAGTGACAATAACTCCACAAAAGGTTAAAGGACTATTTAAGGTATAAACCTAGCAATATAAAAGATATCCACAAATAAATAAATTAATTTGGTAAAATGTAAGATAAATCCAACTTGTCTAAATAGGATAGTTAAATGTCAATGACCTCCAGATAGTCGCATTACAAAATGAAATAAAGTTTTAAGTCAATACAAAATTAATGTAGTTAGGTTTAATGACACTTTAATTTAAGTAAGAATGTGGACAAAATAGAGAAAATAAGAATCCTCAAAGAAAACCCAACACGGCAAATTGAAAATGTTGCAGGCTCGGTTTGATTGAGCCTGTTAATTGACGGTACTGTCAAGTGCAAACTACCGTCCACGACCCCTAGCATGGGCTTTAGCAGAATTCACCATTTTTACACGAAAATGGTGAAGTTTTGAATTTAAAAACATCAGCAGATGTGCTCATACGGCGGTTATGACGGAACCTTCAATGTGACACGTTCGTGTCATTCCATGAAAAGCAGTGTATTGTCCAAAATTAAAAGAATGCATGTGCCCTAAACGTAGTAAACGAGAAAACAATGGGCGGAACTAAATACAATGGAATTTTGAAAAGGGGGTCAGAGGTTATGAAGCTTGCACATTACAGATATTTTGTCAAAAGACAAATATAAAAAGCAGGCAGCATATCCTAAGTTGTTATATTGTAAGTAAAACTCTGACCTTTAACCCTATGACCCTAAAATCAATAAGGGTCATGTATTTGACATGGCTGTTCATACTATAAAATTTTACAACTGTAGGTTGATTAATACTTAAGTTATTGGGCGGAAACCGTTTTCAATTTTAAGGTAATAGTGACCCAGACCTTTGACCTTGTGACCAAATAATTGATAGGGTTCTTCTTCTCAATATCGACAATCATCCTATAAAGTATAAACTCTGTGCGCCAAATGGAACTTAAATTTTGCTTCAGAAACCACAATTTTCAGCTTAAAGATCATTGTCACCCTGACCTTTGTCCTTATGACCCTTTAAATAAAAAAGGATAATGTATTGGACATTGCTGTTAATCCTATAAAATTTCACCGCCGTAGATTGATTACTACCTAAGTTATTGATCGGAAACTGTTTTTAGTTTTACGGCAATAGTGACTTTTACCTTTGACCTTGTGGCCCAAACGTCAATAGGGGTCTTGTACGCAATATGGCCAACAATCCTATGCTTTTTGAATATTGTGGGCTGAATGAAAATCAAAATTAAGTTGTGCTTCGGAAACCAAATTGCTAACGGACGGACGGACAGCAGACAGGCGGACGGACACCAGGGGGTATAACATAATATGTCCGAAATTCTTTCAGGCACATAAAAAGCAGGCAATATATCCGTCGCCTGCAACGTTTTCAATTTTGCCGTGTTTCTTTAGGGATTCTTATTTTCTCTATTTGTTCGGTATGTGAAATGTTTTGAGGTAAACTATGTTTCAGTGCACGCCAGAATATCGAATATTACATAATTTGGATTCCCAAATACTAAATCTACTTATGAGGCTTTGTACATTGTAGTTAAATAAAAGAGAGTACACTAACTTTTCATCAATTCCGTTAGTGTAGTGGTACTAGTAAATAAAAACACATGCAAATACAAATTAGCTTATTAAAAAAGATATGAACCAGGTAGGGGAAACATATTTTCACAACAAAATTACACGAAAACTGCAGACACAGTTTGATTGGGTCTATACAGGAGGGATAATCAAAAAGTACAACATTCCTCACACACACTAGCACCGGCTTGAGCAATACGCAATGTACAACACTTAAAAGAGTAAAGTTAAGATATGTGTTGGGGTAAAATGCGTTTGTGAAAGTTTGGTCTAAGAACACACGAAAGTATGCACGGTCTTGTAATATCAATGCAGCTTTTGACAATGATAGCAAGAACGTGTAAATCACGACCATGCAAAGGGACACTTATAATATAGAATAGAGAAAAACAGAATCCCTAAAGAAATTCCAACACAACAAAATTGAAAATGTTGCAGGCTCGGTTTGATTGAGCCTGTTCATGAACGGTACTGGTAAGTGCAAATTACCGTCCACGCCCCCTAGCAACGGCTTAAGCAGAATTCAACATTTAACACGAAAATGGTGAAATTTTGAATTAAGAAAAATCCGCAGATGTGCAGTCACATAAATGCCATGTGAACCAATCCGAATGTTATAAGAAGAAACAACTAGAAAAGAAGATTAAAGTAAACAAAATATGAACATAATGAATACTGACATGATACAAAGATATTTATGATATAAACCAGATTTTTAAAAATGTTGAGCTTCTAATTGGAAGACAGTGATTCGCTTATTGAGAAAAAAGAGTCATGCGCATAAAAAATCGATCGATTACGGTAGCGCATAAATTTTGAATTCATGTGAATTTGAGGTATACGAGGGGTATATGTTAATTAGTAGCATCGGCAGCGCGTTTTTATAGATAAATCATGCCTGTGAAAAATGATTACTAGAGTCCTTCCAAACGTGCATCATGGAACTTTATACACTTTTCCAGCCTAATAATACATAACTAAACAGTATTTATGGATATTTGTTTGGGTATACTGTTTATATACTGGCAGAGAGCGCTTCCGACGTCACTACCGGTTTCGAACCGGCGGCAACGAAGGCAAGACTTGATGTATGCATTTAACTGAGTGTTCAAGTGACACTACCCCTATCAGGCACAGCGACATGGGAAACAATTCCATAACTTTAAAACTATAGAGGGTGCATAACCTTTTTCACGCTCCTGCTACGTCGAGCAACAACTGGGCGATCGCTGTTTTTAGCTGCTCACATTTTGTTTGCGAGTTTATTGTCGCGATAAACAAAAAGCCACGATTCATCCCCTGTTACAATTTCTCTTAGGCGTCTAGGGTTTCGATCGTTTAAGTGAAATCAAACGGGCGTACACTTTCCTTAACTTTAATTTTTCTTTAAAGATGGAAAATACATATGAAGCACTAAGGCCCGATACGTCACTTACCTCCTCCTCGGTATATCTTCTATTTTAATCAACTATGTGCTGATGTATATGCGGGGATCATCCTTAACATTAGTTCTACTATCCTTAAGCATTGACACCTACGTGGTTACTGTTCGATATGAATTGGGCATTTTCTCTAGATCTGTTTTTATTTCTGAAGAGCCCTTACCCAATAACCCACAAGTTTCGTAATAAGCTCTTTGCTCTTCTCTTAAATTACAATGCAACTCAGTCATGTTAACCAGCATACACAAACAAGTATTTAAATAACCAGTTAAAATTTAATTGCCCGTGCAAATCGTGCTAAAATAGACTGTTGGTTAGAAAAATCAATAATCTTTCAAACAGTATATTAAACAGGTACTTCAAATCATTGTTAAATTGAGCTGTTGTCACTTATTAAAAATATGCCCCTCATATTATTGCATTAAGCAGTGTAATTTAAAGATCCTGTATGTTGTAATTGAGGTTGTATACCACACTTAATTGAAATTATATATATGTATATAATTATGCTTATAAAACAAATTTTCAAACATCGAAGAATATGTAAGATATGTACTGCAAATATTTGTACATATTGTATGAAATCATTAAAATATATGCATTCATTTCTTACTGACAAATTTGACTTAGACTTTATAGAAAATATTTTTTATTACCTCCCTTTATTTTCATGACACGTTAAATTGGTAATATCTTTAAAAAATAATGCTTTTTGGAACTTGCAAAATTGATAAATCTTAATTTGAGCATCATATTTAAGATATAAAACCATTAAAAAATTGTGCTACAGGATCATTAAATGTATTTAATATTTGACTTGAAAAGGTCGATTAAAACTTAGAATGCATTGATATTTCATTATATGAGAGAAAGACTATAATTCAATGGCATTTAAAAATCTAGTGCAATATCATTTTTGGCAACATACAATAGTATCATGCAAAAGCCAATTTTTACAGCCGTCATCTTCCAATTATATCATATATTAAGAGAGTATACTTCCTTGGTAATTAAAACATTTATTACTGCCAGTACAAAAATATTATAAGTAAAAAAATGTACAAAGTTATCTTTCTCAAGTATAGAAATTATTAGGTATCTTCTCTATTACGAGCATTGAGATATTATTGAGTAAAATTATGAATCAATTCAATCGAACGCGTTACTATGAAATTGCTTTTTTTATAATATATAAAAACAAAAGCTTTTGTCGTGAATATAATCATACAGCTATTACGTATATACTGTACATCTTTGATATAAAACAATTAGTTATAACAGAACTGAGACCATAACGTTTCTTTACTATTTCTGCTAACACTATTTTCTTTCAATTGGCTCTTCACTTTTATCTGCCATTAGTTCAGCTTCAGTGGATACTTTATGTACTTTAAGGTTTGGGGTCTTTAACCATAATAGTGGCGTCATAGGTTAAAGCTCCAGTAATAAATTGATCTTTCAGAAGTTGACGTACTCTAAAGAATAGAGATGCAAGCGTTTGTTTTTAAGTCTTCATTTACGAAGGCAATTTTGTAACCACAGTTTTTTTTTAAGTTATTCCCTTGACTGGTAGAGTTGTTAGGTTATTTTCGTCACCATTTTCAGAAACACCACTCATACGGAGACACTTTTGTCAGTTATACTACTCAGCCGTGTCAGTATCAAGTTCATTGCTCGCAATTCTTCATTCTCTTGTTCAAGATGATGGGTCTTTCTGTTAAGTCCTGTAAGAACTTCGTCAACAATAGCCTGAACTTATATATCTGCACTTAACAGTTTTGATTTAAATGTTTATTTAGAGAGGCAACGATAACAGCAATGTCCTCTTTTGACAGGAAAGGTGAGGGAAGTTCCTACTTTTTCTCTCTCTTATATAGGTGTTGAGCATTTGGCGCTTTCAGCTTTACTCATGATAACGGTAGCAGACTTTTTCCACTCTGTATAGTTTTGAAGTTTCAACGCGCAGTTGATTCTATTAATAGAACAGTGTACAAAAATCAAGGATAAGAAAGTGTCAAACAGTGTACTTTTTCAAAAATCAAGAGCAGCGTAATTCCAGTTAATAGATTTACACCCATAATAACCGATAAGTACATGTATGTGTGGAAATTGAGAAGCCATTAGTACCGAAATAACTTAAGATATATAACCAAGACAGATTTATATGAACCATATACATTTTCATTGCGCTAAAAATGGCCAAAACTTGGGGGTAATGGGACCCATAGTTATGTTACTTGCCAAGATCATAAATCTTTGTGTTGATTAGTAAGTGTGTAAATTATGAAATCAGTACAGTTAGAATATGATAAACAAGATCATCAAGGAAAGGCGGCGTTCAATGAACGCAGCCCCCACCCGACCCAGTAACAAGAGCCAGTGGCAAGGAGCCCAGGAGGACCCCAAACAAAAACAGGAAAGGGCATAAGGCAGAGTACGGGCAGGCAAACCACTACCTAAGAATAAATAATTAGAAACTGATAAGGAACTAAAAGAAAACAAATAAATGATTGAATATTAGGCCCATAAAGTCAAAAGGCACAGGGGAAGGGGACATGAGACCCGGGGAGGGGGGAATAAATAGAATAAATAAAAACTAGGGGCAAAGGGGAAGATACTTACCGTAGACGAGAAAACAACAAGAGACACAAAAGTGTCACCAAAACAGTATAAAACAACATAGACAAACATCTGAGGAACACAGAGGGGCGCCGCCTTGGAACGGTCAGCAGCATAAATACTGCTGTGGAGTTTAAAACATATTTGTTTTTGTTCTGTCATCTCATTTTTTCTTCTTTTTTTCACAAAAGTACAACCAAATCGTGTATGTGTGTATCTCAAGACGGAAATGCAGACGACAAATTAATTTTCTAAATGTGTGCATTTTTACATTGTTTGCATTTTATCATGTTACTTCGGAATGTTTCCCCCTATTTCACTTTAATTCGCATGTTTGCTTTTTTCATTTTTTCATCGTTGCTGCTTAGCATATTCATGTTATGTTTACGCGTGTACAAATATATTTAACATATACCATAAATCGACATATGGATTAGAATAATGACTTTAAATTAAACAAAACGTCGAATAATAACAATGGTTTCAATGGTTCAATTACTACTAACATTTATCTATAATTATATGATATCATATTATCTAAGCTTTCTTGTTTTAAATAATGTACACATGCGCTTGTACATCTGAAACACATAAATGCGACAATGTAACAAGAAAAAATATATAATGAAAAATGCGACGATTCAAGAATGCAAATAAAAAATACAACAACAAAAAGTTAAAACAGAAAATAAAACATAATAATGAGAAAAGGGGGAAACATGCAAAAGTTTGATTTTGTCCTTTCGCGTTTTCGCCTAAATAAAGCAAAAATGTGAAATCAGGAAAAGCGAAAAAAAGGGTTGGAATTCAATTTGTATCCACAACAACTGTTAGAACTTTGGTTTGCGGGGAATCATCCATTTACAGTATCTCGTCGCATATAAACATTCCGGGCTAAGCGTGTGATTTGGTGCACTTTTCTAAGCTAACATACATTCCAGGGTGATGCCACTCCGTGTTCCTGAATGTTTTGTAAATAAAGGCACATACTATGTTTCAGTTTGTAATTTGTTCTCAACGCTGGGTATCTAATCATCTTTATTTGTTTTTACGTTATACCCCACCCTCCTTTTCTCCTTTCTTTCCTGTTCTTGTCCGGTTTATTATAATATTAACACAGTCTTTAGTGTTTTCTTGAGTTTCCTGAGTTTTCCTTGATTTCTTCGTTAGCAATAGCAACACACTGTCCTTATTTTTCTTTTGCTCGGTTCCAAGTTGGATTCCGTGTTTGTGGTTCTGTGTAACTGTATTTTGTAGGGACTGCATTCATTAAATGTCACCTTGCGTGTGTTTAAGTTTGTTTATACTCGGCGCCGGAATAGCCACATGTCCCGAGATTATAGCATCCACTGTAGTCACATCGGGGACCTCTTTTTCATTCGGAATCTTCGTTCAGTAGTGGTAAAGGAGACGACATTATACTGTCAATGCATCAGCTTCCTGACCGACGATAACAAAAAAGGCCTTCAGAGTTAGTCACGACAGGTCAATTAATCATCTCTAGCGCTTAGGGTGACTTGACCTTGACATACCGTGTACCTTCATCTCCGCGACATGCACGCCTCTGAAGGGATTTGGTGAAGTTATATCAACCGTGCTTTGATGATCGTTACTTTTATACTGCGTCGTATCTTCGCGATACATGATGGCGTAAACACCTAACGTTTCTGAGAAGAACTAAGTAAAGAAAATTGTAGATATTAACTTATATTACTTATTCCTCATTGTAAGACAGATTAGTACCAATATTGTCCAGCACATTTAATAAATGATACTTACAAAAGGGTCTGCCAAAAATTCTTAAATAGTTCACAAGAAATATCGAACCCAAGTCCAATTGCCACCAGGAAAACGTAGAATCGCCTCCGTTTTGTGCTACGCTGCATGTTGCACATAGATCCTTATCATTATATGAATTAACTGGTGAATCTGTCCCGTCAATTGCACGGTCGGCGCTACATGTTGTGTATTGATTTGACTGGCGTGTTGTTGCAGATGTTGTACTGCGAAGGATATTAAGATCTGAAAAATAACTCAACATTTAGACAACACAATCATATCATTCTAGATAACAACTGCAAAAACTGAGTTAACAAAAATAGTTTGCTCTCAGTTTTCCTTTTAAATGTATTGTTGTGTAGCAAACATAGCTAGATCGATAAACCTGTCTTGAACTGAAAATACAAGAAATAGTCTTATCAAATAATACTTTTTTAAGTTGAATAAGTTGGCGTACATCAAAGTCACTTTTTATGAGAAAAAGTCGTAGAAATAAGATTTTGATAATTTTATATAATCAAAACGTTAAACCCCTTATCAGAATTGATATACTTATTGTATATAAAGCTCTGTATTGAGCTATATACGCTGATCATTAGCCGCAAAATAATAACAAATTTATAGGTATTTACACAATGAGAAGATATAAAAGATATGGATCAAATATTGTATCATGCCACGAATGAAAATGCATTTTATTAGATATTTTGTTTGTTTTACAAGCGTTGGTTCATAGAATACCATCGATTATTTCTTACAAGAACAACAAACATTTACGTTTTAAATTATGAAAACATTTTACGATATGGTCATGACACTGAATTCGTAGTAAACAATCTTTACAAATTACGATGTCATGAAAATGACACCTAATTATATAACAGATATACCTTCACAAACAAAGACTTATCCTTCCATGTTAAATGTTTCAATAACTATTCTATAAACATACAGGTGAAAAACCTTCATTACAGCCTAAGGAGTTTTCTAGTACTGTCCTTAAAACATGTTGCTGAGTTGATTGAGATTTTTATGTTGACACCATATCGTACGTTATAAGGCTAACTTGATAATTTACATAAATTCAGTATAATAAAATAGTTTAACGAAGTATTGCAATATGACAATTATATTACTAGCTAAGGCTAATACTATTCAAACAGCTTATCCAAACATAAACAATTGCAATTCTTATATAATTATTAATTAATCACTTGCAATATATAGTCATAATTATATAGATTTATATTTGAAGTGAAGAATGAAATCATTGATTTGAAATTAAAAAAAAAATTACCATCGTTACAGCTGTCTCCCTGCCAGCCCGATTCACATAAACTAAGGACACAGCTTCCATTAATATGATAACATCTCGAGTTGTTAATACAGTGACAAGTATCATTACAATTAACTCCAAAATGAGGGAAATTGCATGCTTCAATAAGAAATTCATACACATAAATTTTATATTATTATAATCGCAAGAATTCAATAGGATATCAAATATTTAATTTACTTTATGCATTTCAGTAAGATATAAAACTCGTTTCAAATAAAAGCAATGCACAACTTATAAAAAACTATAACCTTCAGCATGATTTTGGTACCGTCGGACTAGGTAACATCTAAAAAATTATATGTATGACTATAATTAGGTCTTAATTAAAACGTGGTTATAAATGAATATGGAATGCTTGTCACTTCAAATTGATATTGATTTATTTAAACACACTTTGCTTCTGCAAAATATTCCATTTTTACAAAAAAAAACGAAGTAATACCTAGATATTCAGCAAAACAGTGTTACCACTTGACAAGGCACATGCGTTAAAACAATTAAAACTTAAGTTCTGGACATTAATAATGCTCATTCTGTCATTATCAAGTAGTGATAAATTGAATTTGTATTTCAAAAGATTGACTTTTGTAATGGTAATTGACAAACATTTGATATTGGAAAATGAACAGGCTTAATTATTATTCTGCCAAAAATATAAAAGACTGTCCCATATTTTTATAAATTGAACATTACGGGTAAATCGGATGGATATTTGCAAAAATTCATTGTGCCGCGTGAGCTACTTATCATTCATGCAAATAAATTATAAAATGTAAAGGAATTATTGCACATTCTTAACATATTTTTACTTTCACCTGTTCACTCACTATATAACCTTTGACGGAGATTATGTCACTTTTACCATTTTCCGTCTGTAATGTTGCATGTGAAAGGATTGAGACAGAGGCAAATAGGCGAACAGTTATATCCAAATGATCTTTTGGGGAATCTGTTTTACTATATATATTGTAATTCAGGAAAAGCTATAAATAATATTCATTTACAAATTCTCAGACACAATAAGTTACAGTTTTAAAATAGAACCATAAATCACGACATAAACCACAAACATTGTAGGTTTGGTTTGATTGACCTGGGTCATGGTTGGTAGTGGTAGGTGTAAGCTATCGTACTAATGTTTAGCACCGGCTAGGTGCAAGTGGCAAACATGTCATTAAATTTGAGCTTAAATGTTATGGGGAATACAATTCCACAGTCTGTGTACTGTTCTAAGGTTTTGTTATATTTGTATATATGACCAAATGCATTTTCGCTAAAATATTTCAAGGTGATTAAGTTGCTTTCCGCACTTTGATTTCGATTTCACTAAATCCTGAGCCAAAACAGTGCTACAGGGCTTTAATTTACATTAACAGCAATGTCTAACCATATATTATATAGAAAAAGGTAAATTAAAGCAAAATAAATCGGACAAAAACATATCAACTATTTACATAATCATTAGGTTTAACAATTTGTTGAATGAATAATTTGTGTGCTTGTGTCACAGCTGGGGCCAAGCCAGCCCGGATCGCATGAACCAGTCTTACAATGTCCAATTATAGCATTACAACATACAGTTGAACAGTTAATACCAAATCTTCTGTAGTCACAAACTTAATAAGAAAAAAGCCATAAGATTATGATTTTATTTTAGCTTGTATTTGTTTAAACTAGCAATTCTAACATAATATATAACACATCAATTATATGATACAAATAGCGTGTATGCAAAGCTCTTCAAACTTTGTTGCTTTTGCACTAACATCAACTGCATGCTCTTAGCTTAAAGTATACAAACTGGTAAATTACTTTATAAATCAAAATTGAAGGCAAAACAATCGAAGACAAAGATATCGTCATCTTATGATTTACATTAAAAAAGGTTCTACAATTTCTTGAATGAATAATTTGTTTGTACCTTTGTCACAGCTTGGGCCATGCCAGCCTGGATCGCATAAACCTGTCTCACAATGTCCAGTTATAGCATTACAACTTGTATTATCACGACAGTTACATACAGTTGAACAGTTAATACCAAATCGTCTGTAGTCACAAACTTAATAAGAAAAAAGCCAAAAGATTATGATTTTATTTTAGCTTGTATTTGTTTCAACTAGCAATTCTAACATAATATATAACACATCTATAATATGATACAAATAGCGTGTATGCAAAGCTCTTCAAACATTGTTGCTTTTGCACTAACATCAACTACATGCTCTTAGCTTACAATATACAAAAATTGGTTAATTACTTTATACATTAAAATTGAAGGCAAAACAATCGAAGACAAACATACCGTCATCTTATGTTTTACAAATTAAAAAAAGGTTCTACATGAATAATTTGTTTGTACCTTTGTCACAGCTGAGGCCAAGCCAGCCTGGATCGCATAAACCAGTCTTACAATGTCCAGTTATAGCACTACAACTTGTATTATCACGACAGTTACATACAGTTGAACAATTTATACCAAATCTTCGGTAGTCACAAACTAAAAAAATATGATCTTACCTTACCTGGTTATTGATAAAACTAGTAGTTCTAACTAACTTACAAATCTAAAATATGATAAATATAGCTTGTATGCCAAGCTTCTCAAAATTTATTCCTTTTGGACTAGCGCTAACTGCATGATCTTAGCTTTAGTATACAAAAAGTGAATAATGTATTCATTCAAATAAAAGCCAACGTAATCAGTGAAATCATACCAACAACTAATTTTTACATGGACATTAATTTCCTCCATTTGTTGAATGGATAAAACTTGTTTGTACCTTTGTCACAGCTGAGGCCAAGCCAGCCTGGATCGCATAAACCTGTCTCACAATGTCCAGTTATAGCATTACAACTTGTATTATCACGACAGTTACATACAGTTGAACAGTTAATACCAAATCGTCTGTAGTCACAAACTTAATCAGAAAAAAAAGCCATAAGATTATGATTTTATTTTAGCTTGTATTTGTTTAAACTAGCAATTATAACATTATATATAACACATCTATAATATGATACAAATAGCGTGTATGCAAAGCTCTTCAAACGGTGTTGCTTTTGCACTAACATCAACTGCATGCTCTTAGCTTAAAGTATACAAAAATTGGTTAATTACTTTATACATTAAAATTGAAGGCAAAACAATCGAAGACAAACATACCGTCATCTTAGGTTTTACAAGTTAAAAAAGGTTCTACATGAATAATTTGTTTGTACCTTTGTCACAGCTGAGGCCAAGCCAGCCTGGATCGCATAAACCAGTCTCACAATGTCCAGTTATAGCATTACAACTTGTATTATCACGACAGTTGCATACAGTTGAACAGTTAGTACCAAATCTTCGGTAGTCACAAACTAAAAAATTATGATCTTACCTTATCTGGTTATTGATAAAACTAGTGGTTCTAACTAACTTACAAATCTAAAATATGATAAATATAGCTTGTATGCCAAGATTCTCAAAATTTATTCCTTTTGGACTAGCGCAAACTGCATGATCTTAGCTTTAGTATACAAAAAGTGAATAATGTATTCATTCAAATAAAAGCCAACGTAATCGGAGAAATCATACCAACAACTAATTTTACATTGACATTAATTTCCTCCATTTGTTGAATGAATAAAAATTGTTTGTACTTTTGTCACAGCTGAGGCCAAGCCAGCCTGGATCGCATAAACCTGTCTCACAATGTCCAGTTATAGCATTACAACTTGTATTATCACGACAGTTACATACAGTTGAACAGTTAATACCAAATCTTCGATGGTCACAAACTTAAAATGAAAAGGCCATACGAATTATGATCTCACCTTACATGGTAAGTGACCAAACTAGTAGTTCTAACTAATTTACAAATATATTATTGATAAAAACGTGTTTACAAAGTTCCACACACTTTGCTACTGTTGCACACACTAGCATAAACTAAGCTTAAGTATACAGAAAGGTGAATTACCATATACATTAAAATTAAAGCCAACAAAATCGGAGGATGCATTCCAACAAATTATTTTTACATTAAAATTAATTTCTATCATTACTTAAATGACTAATTTGTTTGTACCTTTGTCACAGCTGAGGCCACGCCAGCCTGGATCGCATAAACCAGTCTCACAATGTCCAGTTATAGCATTACAACTTGTATTATCACGACAGTTACATACAGTTGAACAGTTAATACCAAATCTTCGATAGTCACAAACTTAATAAGACAAAAAGATATGAATTATGATCTAACCTTAGGTTATGAGTGTTAAAGCTAGCAGTTCTAAATAATTTACAAATCCATAATATGATAAAAAGCGTGCATGCAAAGCTCCTCAAACTATCTTACTTTTGCAATCACATAAATTGCATAGCCTTATCTAAAAGAATACAAAATGGTGAATTACTGTATACACAATGTACATTTAAAATTAAAGACAAGAAAATCGGAAAAAGAACGTACCAACTAAATAATGTTTCATAAAGATAAGGTTTTATATTTTGTTGAATAAAAAGTTTTTTGTACCTTTGTCACAACTGAGGCCAAGCCAGCCTGGATCGCATAAACCAGTCTTACAATGTCCACTTGTAGCGTTACAACTTGTATTATCACGACAGTTACATACAGTTGAACAGTTTATACCAAATCTTCGATAGTCACAAACTTCAACAGAAAAAACAACAAGACAAAAATTATTATCTAACCTTATTTTTGTCGTCTGTCAAAATAACAGTTCTAAATAATTTCCAAATCTATAATATGATAGAAAAGCGTGTATGCAAAGCTCCTCAAGCCTTTTTATTTTTGCAATTACATAAATTGCATTGCATGCTCTAAGCTTAATGTTTACAAAAAGGTGAATAATTGTATACATTAAAATTAAAGTCAAAACAATCGGAGATATAACCTACCATTTACTAATGTTTTACATAATCATAATGTTTTATTATTTCTTGAATAAATAATTTGTGTGTACCTTTGTCACAGCTTGGGCCAAGCCAGCCTGGATCGCATAAACCAGTCTTACAATGTCCAGTTATAGCATTACAACTTGTATTATCACGACAGTCACATACAGTTGAACAGTTAATACCAAATCTTCTGTAGTCACAAACTTAAAACGAAACGGCCATAAGAATAAGATCTAACCTTACATGGTAAGTGAATAAACTATCAGTTCTAACTTATTTACAAATCCATTATTGCGAAAAAACGTGAATACAAAGCTCCACAAATTTTGTTACTACTGCACTAGCATAAACCGCATGATTTTAGCTTTAGTATACAGAAAGGTGAATTACCGTATACTTGCACCTTAACATTAAAGCGAGAAAACGGAGGATACATCTCAACAAATTATTTTTACATTAACATTAATTTCTATCATTTCTTGAATGAATAATTTGTTTGTACCTTTGTCACAGCTGGGGCCATGCCAGCCTGGATCGCATAAACCAGTCTTACAATGTCCAGTTATAGCATTACAACTTGTATTATCACGACAGTTGCATACAGTTGAACAGTT